ATGAGGAAGGGGTACACAGGTGGCTGCATGGCATCTTTGAAGAGAAAGACAGGTGCTTTATATACATTTAGTTTTTGAATTCTTGAATGATAATGAAAGATGTTGCAATGACGATTTTCTAGTGTTACACTATTTGTTATTTATATTTGTTAATGTATTATTTGTATGGCAATCAGAATCTGTTTATCATACTTTTTTTATGTTTTGTTGTCTTTCTACTAAGTAACAACATTACATGCAGTAGATTCTAGTAAAGCTAATATTATTAATTATGACTACAGGGATGCAGACACAAATATAATATTGGTTTAAACATATCTGGATGGTTTATATACTAAAAAAATGAAAGTTCTTTAAAAACAATAAGCCTATTATGGGCCAAAAAATACTGAGCCAGATGGTGGTCTTAGTTCACTTGCATTGGTAATATAAAAGAAAGTTGTTGAATCTTTTAAAGATATTAAAAAAACGATAAGTATACAAGAAGAAAATGTACACTATCCAGGATACAGCCCAAATGTATAGACTATGCACACAAAATATCAATCATTCATTCAAAGCAGACATGATTAAATCACAAAATAAAAACATTGAAATGTTGAATACATTTAATATACAAGAATTTTATTTTTTTATTTTTGTAATAAATTTACAATCATCATTTTTAAATTTAATGTTTAATATTCCTCAGACTTCTTCAAGATTTCTACTCAACTGATCCAAGCAAGCGAGGGCGCCTTGGTGACAATGGTGGAGTCTCTAAACTGAGCCTGAAAAAGACACTACCAGCTCTTCTGTTTTCATGCGGAATTGGAATACCAATATTTTTAACAAAGCCTTGCCGAGATCTGTACTGGCAAATATGGCTGTTTGGAACATTATTCTGTAGTCTGTACATGCGTTCAACAACATAAAATTTAAAAGTGTAAAACAAATATGGTGTCTCAAAGGATGTTTATGAATAACCAACTGTTGTCGTCCAGTGCCAGTGACAAATATTCAGATTCAGATATCATTTATTATGATAAGGCAATCCATATGGAATACTTTTACAAACTTGGAATGAATTACAAACGACACTTAATAAAATACAATGCAAAATGCTAACAACAGATACGGATATTAATTATTAAAATTATACTGTATATAGTAATAAAGTTTTAAAAATATAGTTAAACATCC